TTTGTCTGTGTGTGTGGGTGCGTTGATAGGTTTTGTTTCTTGTCCGGCTTCCTTGCATGTTCATTCGACCATCGTTTTGCTGTGTGGTTATGAGGTATCCGAGATAATTACAGTTCCAGGAAGCATGTGTTGGGGAATGCGTTACTGTCGAGGGCCGCCCCTAGAATCAGCACCGGGTAGTCCACATGCCTCAAAAAGCATATGTTTACGGGTTGAAGGTAGGGTCTTTCGTGTTTCGGGGGTTTCGGAGAGTTTCGTCTGGCCTTCTATGTCGTGAGTCGTTCAAGCACTAAACTGGGTTCTAAGAGTACTTGGCCTGAGACACATGAGATCATATGTCATCACCAGAATCTGTAAATACGAGCGGCTGGAAGAGAAGGTGGCCCTGGTGGTGGAAGCGGCGGATGCCCGTGTGCCTCGGCAGGGATTTCAGGGCTGAGATAGTTTATATCGGCTAGGGGTTGGGGTGTTGGGTCTGGGGTGACTTGTCAGAAGCCGAGCACCATGCAGCCTCCGGGTTCACGACCTCGTGGATCGCTTTGCAAGATGTGACAAAGACGGATTTTTGGTTTTCTATCTGTCTGGCAAGACCGGGGTTCCTCCTTCAAATGGATCTCCTTGCGGTTGTAGGTATTCGGCAGTGAGTAGTTCTGGAAACTAGGGTCCTTCTTGGGATCCAAACGAGCACACCGCTCTTACGACGAGGAACCTGCTTTTGACACTAACGTCGCGACCAAAGCCTTACGCAGCAATCGCCGAGTTAGCACAACAGAAAGTCCGAGAGCCCTGCAGCATGCCATTCTGCATCTGACATGGCGCCTTTGAAAGTACGCTTATGAGAAACGTCATCCTAAACCCCAAAACCAAAACCCCTAGAGCCCCTACAGCCCTAAACGCCACAATACTAGTCTGCCACAGGAGATCCACCACTTCTGCTGCCTTGTGGGATGCGGATCTAATGCGAACTACCCCTACCTCTGCCCCTCGGGCCTATGTCAGGGTCCTTCTCGGAGGCTGAATGTTGAGGATTTTGGGGTTTAAGGTTCGTGGCTTGGGGTTCACTCCATTTGTGGGTCTGGGTTTCGGGTTGAGGCCACCAATATAATACTGCAGAGTTGTAGTTGCGTGTTAGGCTTCAGCGCTCGAGTTTCAAGTTGGAACTCTCTGGGGCTTTAGCCAAGGCTCAGGCCTTGGGCATCCCAACCTTCGCCTGAGGCTAAACACCTCGAAGCTTGAGTCGGCTCAAGAATGCCGGCCATAAACCCCGACCGCAGGGTGTCAATACAACACTGCCCCCAATACACTACAAGCGAATCCCTCAAAGCCCTGGCTTCATCAACAGAAGCCTAAGACCATGCGCCCTTCGATGTTGCCGAGCGGTAGAAAACATCCGCAATACATTCGTGCTCGACCGCAGCACATCCAGATTCGAAGCTGCCCAGCTGACACTCTGTGCTCCCCATGCTGCGGCTGCTTCCATTGGCGAAGACCGTCGTGACGGTTGAACAAGCGGGAGCCGAGCACAGCCGAGCACGGGCGGGGGGGCGGCCATTGGGGCGGGGGAGTGGGAACGTGCGCAAACCAGACACACCTTTAAGTGATACATATCTCCAGTTGTGGCCAGAAGTAGGTCTGGCTCCGTGGGTAAGGACCCTACCTGTAAAAGGCCGACGAACCTTGGGGGTCCCTCCCCTCCAAAATCCGAAACCATAATAGGAGGCCACAATGTCAAGGCACTTATGGTCCGAATTTCCGCTTAGGGCTTAGGGCCTGTTGAGAGTCTTTCGGGTTTAGTATGGGGTTTTGGGTTCTTGATCGTCAACTTTGACTTGTAGCAAAAAGAAGTCTGGTCGCTTGCTTTCTGGCAAAGCGTGTCTTGTCCAGCTGACGGTTGCATTCCATGCAGGCTACAGCCTGGCAAAAGACCCAGAGATGCTGTTGCATTCAACTCTTGGTTGCAGCGTTCCAGATTCCGGGTTTCGGATCTTTGACCTAGGCTTAGTTCAAGTGTGGTGAGCGTTACCGATAACCGCCGGCAGAAGATTTCCTGACTTCCAGACCCACCCTGAGCCCCAAAAATTCCCGCCCGTATGCATGGGGAACCCAGAACCGTCTACCCTAAACCCTAGACCCAGCCAACAACCTGAACGCTAGGCCACCGCAGCCTGCGACTCGTCCCGGGCACCGGCCTCCCGTTCCTCGCTCAGCTGTCTTCTAAATTGAAGATGTTGGGTGTAAGTGTTTGGGGATTCTGTCTCCCGCTTGTGTGTCTGTCCCATACCTGGAGCGTCCTGAGGCATGGAAGGCTATGCAGGCTCCAAGCCTCATAGCCCCATAGCTTCCGAGCCTAACACACTCTAAACAGCTCGGGGTCTGTATGGGGGATGTTACAGGTTCTTGTGTTAATGATTGAAAGGCCTGATGTTGGGTCGGATCTGAAAGCCTCAAACCCTGAGGTCAAGCTGGGCGAAACCTCCGAATGAGTCGGTCCGTTTAGCAAGAGCTGTAGAATCAGTATCCATTGCTGCACAGGGCGGTATCTTCTTCTATGTTAGTACTGTACGATGGTTTTGTCCATGGCACGCCTCATGCACTCGACGAGTCCCGGCCCGGACCCACAGCAGAAAACAGACTGATATACGACTGATATACTGTAATCTGTAATCTACCGCAATAGACTATATAGTACATCATACTCGTAGTATACTTTCAGTCAGCCGCGGCCCGAAGTGGAAGGCAAATCGGGCCTTAAGCACAGCAGTCCGAGGTGGGCTTCGGATCGAGCCGGCAGTGTTTTGTCTCAAAAAGACCCTTCCTGTAGGGTCCTTGGGGTAAGGGCCCCCAAGGGCTTTAGGGTGTGGGGGTTCTAGAGGCTCAAATGATTGCCAATACTGTGATTGAGGTGTTCAATCTGAAGGGCTGTTGAGGTGAGGCTTTGAGGCAGCAGGGTTTTCCCACGGTTGAGGCACATCTGCTTTAGAGTCTTTAGAGGTTGTTTTAATCACGGCTTCTCGCTTGCACACTACAGGGCCGAGGTTTCAGACGTTTGAGCTTCGACTTCTGAGGGGGTTCGCCGATTGGCTTTCAAACAGGTTCTTGCAGAGTTCTAGTGCAAAGGCTGCAACACTGCTTACCTACACACCCTAAACACTTGGTCCTCCAGCTTTGAAGCACTCCTTAAACGGGACCTCCGCCTGAGGCATCCTTACAGGAGCCCTTCAGTAAACACCCTTCCAAACGACTCCTTACAACCCGAAACCCTGAAGCCTTAACCCTCAAGCCCTAAATCCGAAACCCTCCTTGAGGCGTCCTGAGGGTCATGACCTGCCCGCAGAGCTGCAAGGGCGCTCAGCTCATCCAGGCCTTGGGCATGGACCAGGCGGCATCCAAAAGGTGCTGTGCTTGCAGGGCATAGGCTTCACGGAAAAAGGCTTTACGTAGAATTGAAGGCAACGAGCTCCGCGAAGCGTGTTTGGGGTTTAGGGCTAAACCGTAAACCTTAGAGTGACTTGAGTCATTTCCGTGCAATTTCAGGAAGTCATGCAACAGCCATGACCCCAACAGAAGGGAGCAGTGGCCAATGTTCGCCGCTGAATCTCATCTTCAAAAATTTCCGAGTGGTACTTTGAAGGCCACCATTGATGAGACGGGCTTGCACGGTGCTGTGTACGGGTTTCGCAAGAGTTGAAGGTTGGGCTTCACGTTAGAGGGCGTGACGAAGGTCCTTCAAATGGATGGGCCCCTAAGTTTCGACAGGAGTGGCCGCAGACTTAGACACGGACGCCCCAAACCTTGAAAGCGTTCAGGTTGTGAGCCTGCAAGCTTGAGTCAAAATGCCCGAGAGGCTCGCGGACGTGTGTTCCTCGACTCCGCGATCCTTTGCCCACGCCGCTCCAGCACCCTGTTCGGGCTTGAGGCACCGGGCCTTGTCGTTAGTGTTGTGATTGTGAAGACCGCAGGGCGACAGGGACCGCAGTGAGAGGGTTTAGGGCGCAAAGTTTAGGGCGCCTCCAAAGATCTGGAGCATAAACCGCACTTGTCTTAAGAGCAGTCGTAGGCTTGCGTCCTTCTTCGCCCACTGTAGTCCATGCTTGAATGTTGACTTCGGCGGTGCGCCTTCCTAACCATAGAACTAGGTACCCTAAAAAAGGGGTAGAGTATGAGCCTCTAGGTAGAGTTTAGGGATTTGGGTTTGGGGTTTAGCGTTTAGGTTTAGACTGTAGGGTTTGGGGCTTCGAAATTAGAAGAGTTTGGAGTTTAGAGTGTAGAGTTTAAGGCTTCGAGTTTAGAGAGCTTAGGGTTTCGAGTTCAGGGTTCAGAGTTCAGAGTTTAGGGGTTTCGAGTTTAGAGTTCAGGGTTTACCTAGACCACCCAATCGCATGTTTATTTGCGTTTGTTGTGCAAAGTACACAGTTTCGGGTGGAAGCGCACTTAAATTCATGAACCCTATGATCCCGCATGGAAAAAAACATCCCGAATGGAAATCCCTTGGGCCACGAAAGCTCAAGCTCTTGCTGTGCGTCGGGGGCAAGAACGCCCAGGATGCGAAGCAGGCTGGGTCTGTGGTTTCAGGTATTCTCGAAATACTTACCGATATGATAAGTTTAATTTATACGTGTATATATATATGTATATATGTATATATGTATATATGTATATATCTCTCTCGATCTCTCTCTCGCGATTGATGATAGATGGAATGATATGATGGATGTGCTCGTCGCAGTCGGTGCTGACGATGTCCGCCTGCCACAGGCTTTGCTGCTCTCGATCGGTGGCCCAGGCATGTTATTAATTAGCTCGCTTGTGCACTGCTTCGTGTGCGAGTTTGAGTGCCAGCATGTACGAATTCCGAAGGGGTTTTGGCTTCTAGAGGGCTTGCTCAGCATGATCACTTGGATGCCATCACATGTTCATGCCTATGTATGCATGCACGTGTTGTGCCGCGTGTATGTGTGTATGTGTTCAACAAAATAATATATACGACAGAGTCGTGAGCCATGCCCGCAAACTCACAAGAAGGTGAGAAGCCGACGGAAGTGGAGAAAACAGAAGTGCTTGAAACACTAGCCAAGAAGTGGACGAAGTTTCCAGGTATCGAGGAACGCGGTGTATCAGGCCGGATCGTTCTGGCAGGCAACCATATAACGAGGCCGGACCTTGATGCCAACTGGAATATTGTGGCGGCTGCAATTGAGGCTGTGGGCTCTAGGCCCAGTGTCTACGCACTTGAAGATGCAGTGGTGCATTTCTTCCACCTTACCCGTCCCAAAGGAAAACCACCCGTCCCCAGCCTCTCGTCTTCACACATTGTTCGATAGAGCTTGTACAAGTCTTGCACTGTTGTGAAGCGCTTGCTGCATTGCTGCATGCATGCAGAAACCAAGGCAAATTTTGCCGTACGCAAGGATGGAGGATCAGGAATATGATCACGATGTTCGTCAGGATTGCAAAGCTTCCTCACCGCCCCTCTGAACCTGGCATCAGAAGAATCTACGAATATTTGAACATCCCGATTCCTGAAGGTAGCTTGGCCAAGCATGAGGAATACCATGTGCTAGTGACCATGTCATGGTGGAAGACACAGCAGGTTCTAAGTGGCTTGTGGTCCCAGGACGTTCTTCAAGTTCACTGCCAGACGTGGGCAGTGACGAAGAGGATGTTGCTGACTGCGAGGCTGGGTGAAAGGAGGTTGATTAGGGTGACTCCGCGAGGTCTTTTGAACTTAAGGGGTCATGTGTGGTCAGGGTGAAGCTGGGGAGTCTGAGATGGGCACCGATGATGAGTGTGAAGCTGCTGCTGTGCTGAAATACAGTTTGCCAACAGTTTTGTGACATCACCCACGAACTGGAAACTGGTTCAAATGATGCAAGCATATGAGGTTGATGAGCGGAAAGCTGAACCAGAGGCCCATGGCATGGAAGTGGGATCTGGTGACTTCTATGCAGGTAAGGTTTGATTTCGGTGTGTGCAAGAAGTTTGGGTTCGGGCTGCAGCCAAGGAAGTGTGGCCGCGGCTTCAGTGGCGACATGTGACTTGTCCACCCCAAGCCCTCGTGCAGTGCAAAGTGTGTCGCCCAGCAGTGAAGACAAGCACACACCGCCAAACAAAAGAGCAGTGCTCAAAGCCTTGTTTGAGCAGCGGGATCGCCTCACAGCATTGTTGAAACTCAAGCAGCAGCGAGCGGAACAAGCAATGATGAGTGGTCGTGAGTCCCGCAACTTGCATGCATTCTCTAGCATGTCGTGGGAGTTTCGCAGCAGGGGCATTCGTGTGTTGATGTGGCACCGCGTATATAAGGTGGAGTGGAATCCCAAGAGACGCTTCCAATGGATAATGATGTTGCTGAACTTGCGCTTGAGAGTGCAAAGATTGAGATGGCGAAGAAGGAGAAGCAGCTGTGCAAAGCTGCTATCATTGAGGAAGCCCAGACCCGCCCGGCCGGTTTTCTGAAGCGCAATCCGGTTTGTTCGGAGAGGACAGAGGTTTCGGATAGCAGCAAGCCTACAGAAGCCCCACCCGCGAAACGAGTAAAGACCCATCCAGTGCCAATCAAGAGAGAGCCATCGGACCAGCCAATCAAGACCAAGCCATTGGACCAGCCAATCAAGAGAGAGCCATTGGACCAGCCAATCAAGACCAAGCCATTGGACCAGCCAATCAAGAGAGAGCCATTGGACCAGCCAATCAAGACCAAGCCATTGGACCAGCCAATCAACAGAGAGCCATTGGACCAGCCAATCAAGACCAAGCCATTGGACCAGCCAATCAAGAGAGAGCCATTGGACCAGCCAATCAAGACCAAGCCATTGGACCAGCCAATCAAGAGAGAGCCATTGGACCTGCCAATCAACACAAAGCCATTGGACCAGCCAATCAAGAGGGAGTCTGGTGTAGATGCAAGCAACACCCTAAGCAAGGCAGACCCACTGGACAAGCCAATCAAGAGGGAGCCTGATGAGGGCACCGGAGGGGTGCCTTTAAACAAGGAGGAGCCTGCAAGCGCCAAGGTCGATGAGGAACCCCGTGCCAAGGGCCTGGACGGCCAGGTCGATGGTCACGCTTCCGGGGGCCTCCTAGATCAGGAGAAGCCAGAGCTCCTGAAGAGTGCTGCAGTGATGTCTCCTGCCGAGCAGCAAGCCCTTTCAAAAGGCCGAACCATCAAACCACGGGGAGGAGCCAAGAAAGGCAAGGCTCAGCTAGAGGAGGGCGAGGATGAGGAGGAAAGGGATGAGGCTTCTTGTGCAAAGCCGAAGCGTGGCCCAGGGCGCCCGAAAGGTGCTGGCAAGAAGCCTGCAGAAGCGAAGGCCAAAGCGAAGGCCAAAGCAAAGGCCTCGGCCTCTGCTAAGGCCCAGGCGAAGGGAAAAGCGAAAGCAAAGGCAAAGGCTAAGGCATCCCCAAGTCCCAAGAAGAGAAAGAATACGGAGCCCCCCAATAGCCAGGACACTGCATACTATAGTGATCAGCCATCTAAGCCTATGAAGCCTCAGAAGAAGAAGACACCCATGAAAGCTGCGGTCAAGAAGGCAACGGCTGAGGAAGACAAGAAAAAGAAAAGTAGGAAATCCTGCGCGTATCACAAGACCAGAACACTCAAGATCAGGGAGGGCTTCTCAGAGGAAGAGGCAATCCGATTGGCCAAGATTGTTACCTGCCTGCATCATGTTCGAGAGCCAATGTGTACGTACTTTGCTAGATTTTGCTAGATCACCTTGTGGAAGCATACCTGGCCCAGGCTTATGCTGAGCAAGACTGAGTTTGCAGAAGCTGCCGGGGAGTGCGCAGCAGACACACATGCTGTCTGCTTGTTTTTGGCTGTCTTGGGAGCATCCACTTAGTTTGGCCGGGGTCATGTGTCATGTGGGTCACCCTGAGGCAAAGCCTTTACGTGCGACAAATCACAGGGGTTGCCCAATGTTCGTGCAAAAGATACCCAAGTCGGTTTTGCATGCATTGCAAGTGCCATAGAAACTTATGTAAAGCAATCTTCGGGGTACCTTTGCTTCGCATGCCAGGTGTTCCATGCATGGACCTTTCCGTCATCCCAAGCTGTGCCAGCCGAGGCCATCAAAGGCTAGCCTTGAAACCTTTAAAGCCCTACCCTGATCTCACCGGCAGGTGTTTCCCTTCTGGCTATACCATCGACTGCTACCAGTATGACTGCAGAGGCCAACCAGACAGTCGAAGGGGTCTTATTTCAGGATTTCCGAGGCTTCTGCAGTATGAGTCTGCATGTATGCATGCACGTATGTATGTGCATGTGTTTGTATGCATGCAAGTGTGTACTGTATGTATGTGTATGCATATGTGTATATTCATGTATATGTATGTATGTACGTATGTATGTGTGGGTGTGTGTTATACGTGTATGTGTAGGTTTGTATGCGTAAGTAGTATGCATGTGTATTGTGTGTTTTCGTAAGATGTCAAGTAATATATATTGTGCAGCTCAGCCATTTCTAAGTGGAGACTCCCAGATGTGCCTCCACCTTTCTCGCACAGGTGCCCGCCATGGTGGAGATTGATTGGTTCTCCTGAGGCCGTGTTGCTGGCTTGCCAAGATGCCAAACAAATGCATACCGTTGGATGACATGTGCCCTCTTAAACAACAGGCATTGATAGAAGAGTGCTATACATACATTGACAGGTGGGGAATGGCCTGGGCACGACGTGCTAGTGCTGCAGGCAACCGCGCTCCCCACCCTGCTCGCTTCAGTGATTTCCACTTCCACAGCCTGTCTTAGGGGTGTGCTGCAGCTGTGCTCTTGATTGCTGTTGCAACATTTGTAGATGATATATATATATATATATATATATATATATATTCACCAGAGCCTCGTTCAAGGGCTTTCAGCAACAGGCTGATTTGATCCGGTACCGACTAGTGCCATGGACGCCTATCCAGATTCTTCCATGTTTGTTCGATTGGTTCAAGTGGGCGCCCCCAAGGCTCCGTGTATTGCAAATAGAATGGCTTGTCTTGACTCGAATGTTTCTGATGCTGAGTGACTGTGCAACGGCCGCTTTAGGTGCTGCTCGGCATAGTTCTTCTACTTTCCTGGAGCACGCAACTGCCGACCGCAAAAACCTTTGATTTTCTAGATCTTTTCGCAGGACAAGCTAATGCTTCTGAATACTGGTGCCGCATCCGCATGTGAGAGATCTGCCAACGTGTACAACTTGAATTCCTGACTGAAGATAAATCATCCAAAGCCGAGGCGATCCAAAGGTCACACCGTGGCCACCATCGACATCGAACGAGGGGCCTGCATGGACTTCAACAGTGACTCCGGCTTCGCGAAGCAACCTCAGACAGCACAGGGTCGTGATGGGTTATGGGTTGCATGTTGTCGTTCAGGGGCGTGTGTTCCGACTTTATAAAGTCACGTGAGGCTGGTCTTGTGGGTCATCATGCAGCAGACAGTGAATTCTGTCAACCTCATCGGGCCATCGTGTTCTTCATGGGGCTTGCCTAATCGCGGGACGAGCATGCGCAACTTTATCAATTGGAAAGGGAATGAGCAGTACCACTATGTAGCTGCTGCAAACCGGATGGTGAGCCGGAGCTTTGGCTACATGCAGTATTTACTTGTGTTTCGATCTATAATTGTGCATGTTGTGCATGTCACAGGTAGCACACCAACTGTGTGCTGCTGGGAAGCTAAGGGTTGTCCTCGCAATCTTGGTCATCACTGCGAAGCATGCCACATGGGTTCTTGAACACCCCATCTGCAGTTTGATTAACCGTCACGACCGCTGGGAATGGCTTTGTAACTCCGTCCTTCGTGTGACACGCATGCACTATACTTCGTTCCCTCCGGGTCTTTCTGTCTCTCTCTATCGGTCGAGAACAACAGGTGCTCCCATATGAATATATAATATGTGTATTTATGATACATATATATATACACACATACATACATATAACGATATAGGTGTAATATCGCTCTTTCTCTTTCTCTCGCTCTCTCTCTCTGTCTCTCTCTCTCTCTCTCTCTCTCTCTCTCTCTCTCTCTCTCTCTCTCTCTCTCTCTCTCTCTCTCTCTCTCTCTCTCTCTCTCTCTCTCTCTCTCTCTCTCTCTCTCTCTCTCTCTCTCTCTCTCTCTCTCTCTCTCTCTGTCTCTACTCTTATATAGCAACATAATGATGATCGTGGAAAAAAGGGGTGCTTCCTAGTGGTGCGGAAGCCCCTTACTTTTGGGGTTCTTCCTAGTGGTGCGGAAGCCCCTTACTTTTTCTGTCTCTCTCTCTCTCTCTCTCTCTCTCCCTCTCTCTCTCTCCTGCTCATGCAGTAACAAACCCTACGCCGAGGTATTTCGTCAGAACTTTTGGGTAATGCACTGGGGTGCTTCATCGCCGAAGCGAACGATGATGTTCTCTAATTCTCCAGCTATCAAAGAGCTGGATCGAGGGGTCCTCTCAAAAGCTCAGCGTGCTCGCTTGGGCCAGGCCAAGACCGTACGACAACTGGATGCATCACTAGCATTTGTGTTTGTCTCTGTACTGTTTATGATGATGCCTCCAGCCTCTAGCATGTGTTGAATCTACACAAGGCCGATACATCAAAGACGGCCGCTCCCTCTTCGTGGGAACAAAGGATCTGAAACCTTCTGGGTGACTAGGCTTCCGGGCACCTGTATCCAGTCTATGTGGGGTAATATCACTACAAAAGCCTATATAAGCCTTGTACTTGGAAGGGCAGGGGACTTAGTAAGTAGGTTATATATAAGTAGGGTTATAATTGCATGGGGTATCTCCATTTAGGGTACTTGTAACTCTACTTATAACCTACGTACTAAGTCCCCTGCCCTTCCAAGTAGGGTTCTATATATATATATATAACTACAGGCTTTTTTGGGGGCCTCTAGTATGTATAGGGTTTTAATGGGGTTTAGAAGGGTTTCATTACTTCTCAAGAACCCTACAGAAGCCCCAAGCCAAAATCCGCACTCTCAGGATATATCCTCTCAAGCTTGTGAAGAAGCTCTACAGCTGCTTTGTTGAGCGCCGGGCCGCAGATTCGAGGTTGTGCTTGAGAGCCAGGAACAGCATCAATCCGGTCCTGACGGACAGAGAGCTCTTTCAGTCCATGCCGCTAGGGGATGCCTGGGAAGATGCTTCGGTGGCTTCGGTATATTTCTATCTCCGGAAAGGGCGGTTTCTGGTGATTCCGGACAGCTGGCAAGCTACTATTGATGATTTCGACCGTGCCCTGCATGAGCGAGTAGCTTCGCTGACATTAGCTTTGCAAGGCGACAATATATATAGGACTGTCGTTCTGATATTTTTCTTACATAGCAACAGTGTATCCACGCAGCCGAGGTCAACTGCTTTCCGGAGCTGAGAGCCCAGTACAATTCCCTAGTTGGCTAGCAAAGACATGGCTATGGCAGTTGCGAGGTAGTCTACAGTTTGTATGAATTTTGTCTGATGTAGCAAGCTAATAACATGAGGCCCAGCCCCGCCCAGCCCACCCAATTTCGGGCACATCAACCTACACCACCGCGAATATTCATGATGCTCGGTCTTGCAAGGGGTGTGGCGCACATGCTTTGGAAATTTGTTTGTCGGTGATGTGATCGAATCCCATGCAAAACCAGGGCCAATCTAACTTTGCCTGGCCAAACCCCTGCCAAAGCTGCCGCTCATGATGCCTCTGGGATTTAACAATTCTCTGAATTATCCCCTCAACAATGGCCCAAAAAAGGCCTGGGGTGGTGCTCATGAAAAATCAGGCTGTGCGGGGAGGGTGGCAGGCTGGGTGGTGCCCCCCGACCCCCCACCCCCCACCCTAAAACAACTGACTTGAAGCCTTTTGTGGAAAGCCTCCCGTAGGTCAGATAAGTGTCATTGTCCCAAAAGCCACCCAGTGCTTATTCGCTAAAAATGGCCCTGGCAGCCAGGGTTTCCCAGGGGTGGGGCAGGTGGGAAGGTTGCGGGCTTGCGTCCCGAATGCTTTTTCACTTGACGCACTTTTTTTGCCTCGAGGGTCACGGGGTGGGGCCGGGGTGACCGCAACACGCGCGCAATTTCCCGCAACACGCGCGCAATTTCCTGCAACACGCGCGCAATTTCAAAATCCATGCTTTTGGCCTTTTGGCCCGAATGTTTTTTGCTCTTCACGCGCGGAAACTACCTCGCACTGATTCTGTAGCCACTGAGTTTGCAGATGTAGCGGGGCAGTTCTAAGAATGCTTCGTTACCCGGGCAAAATACCTGACAATTGCTGCCTGCTGTACACAGCATCGGCTTCAGCTTCTGTTTGCTTTTCCAGGACCGTGCTGCAACATGTTGTGAGGTTCGTCAAGAGTGGGCAATGGTTAGTCTGCAGAGTTTGAACGAGGGTGTAGCCATGGTGGCCAGATCATGGAGTGATTTGTCTGCTCTGCCTGATGATCAAGTTGATGCTGAAATCATGGTGCTCTACCTGCACAAGCACTTAAAATCTTAGTTAGGCAGTTGCATAATATATCCGGTCTCGCCCTGATTTACACCCTATCCCAGGCTGCGGAGCAGCACATCAGTGAGCTGCAGAAGAGTCTGCGAGGAGTTCCTGCAGAGCCTGTTCCCGAGATGGCACCAGGCGGCCTTTGTGGACCCCTATGATACCCTTATATAAACCCTAAGTTTCTGCCTACTGTTACTCTTATATGTGTGGCCCGCTAGTCTGGCCACCACGTGCCACACCAGCCACACTTAGGGTATG